ACTTGGATGGACAGGAGAATGAAGGTATGACATCTCTCTCTTCAACACCCATTTCCCGCTGCCTTCGCTCGCGCTTGCTTGAGGTGATGGCTTGCTGGTGCGATAGGCAGGGAATGAGAAATGGAATGTAATTCAAGAAAAACCATTCGGTTCCCATGGTTTCCTTTAAGGGAATCCCCAGGTTCATTCCCTCATTCCCTACTGAGCACCGGCAAGATGCCCGGGACCGACAATGGCGCAGCAAAGAAGGCGTTCCTCTTGTCACGGTAAAACCACCACGAAAGCGGGTACCCCGAACGGTTCAGGGTTCCGGCCTTTAAAAGTGATTAAACCAAAGGTGTCAAGTCTTGATCTCCCGAAGTACCAACTCCACCGAGCCTCAAAAAACGGACAGGCCCATTGTCCCGATCGGAAAAAGGATGGACAGCAAGTAGGTGCGTGTGGATCCAGTTGCCATACTGCACCATCGTTCAGAAACCCTATGATTCGATTCCAAGGATTTGTGACAATGGTTTCAACCATACTGCAACAGCTAAAAACCCTATGATTCGATTCCCCTGTACCAACTAAGAATGGCGACATGCAGGATTTCGTCCATCCAGAAGGGAATGACTCTTGGATTTCACTCGCGTTGGCCACCTGCTTTTGTGGCAACTGGAAACGCTGGGCGAAGCAAGTCAAAGTATCTGACACCGGGGCCGTTGCGGCGTGCCTGGTGGCAACTGGGAAGAAGTCTGTGGACCTGTTAGAATGTGCACATTATATATACATATGTATATATATATATAGGTATGTGCATATATATATATATATGCGTGTATGTATGCATGTCTGTACATATCTACATATATATATAATACATATCTGTCACACAGCTCTGACCAGCAGCTGAAAAGTGTCAGACGGGTCAGGTGCCGAAACCGGTACTGGCCTTGAGTTTTCAGTACAAAGAACATGCTTCGCATGCGAAGCACCGGTTCACCTGACTGCGAAAGCCGCAATCTGCAAAACATGAAGGGTGAAAAGAGCATCCACTCAGTTGCCCACTTCGGACGGAAGAAAAAGGCTCACCTTTTGGGGCCATGACGAAAAATGGGCCAAAAAGGGACAACCGAGGGGGCAAAAGGCCGATTCGCTTTGGGCAAGTGAGTCAAAGCATGCAGTCACCCTTTGGTGGCACCTTCCCATCTACCTCGCTCTCTTCGGTGGCAAGTAATGAGAGTACCTCAGCTCAAGCTCACGACCGACAAAGGAGACGTCACCCTACCCAAATGCAAAAAGCCCATGGTGCTAATTAATCACGTGGCATGACGCTCAGTGACCCTTTCCAGTGGAAACCCAGCAAGCAACGTGACTGTACCAAGAGTCTAGGGGTACCTCTAGCCCAGAAATCAATCCCCCCTTTCTGTGGATGGGCGAAATCCATTTCGCACCACCGAAGAAATCCAACGGAATGATTCGATTCCCCAGTAAATACCGACAAGCCACGGTTCCCATGTTCTTCAGCACCCAACGGCATTCATGTCTTGGGCCAGTCAGTCACCGAGTCCAGCTCCGCGGGGGGAACCCTTGGGACATTTTTGTGTCCAGGGGAATGTGGGAGCGGTCTTTTTCCCCAAAATGCGGGTGTTCCTTTTGTCAAAAAAGACACGCCCGTGCTTCTCCAGATCATTTTGGTGGTTTAGGCGCCAGCAGATTTTCTCTGGTTTAGGTCTCTTTTTTTCGGATTTGGGTTGGTTTAGGGGGGGGGGGTTCCATGGAACTCACGAAAAGTTGAATCTGGGGACCCAACAAAAATGGACATGTTCCTTCGGGTTCTAATTTACATTAATCCACCCCAACAAGGGCACCCTCAAACAAACATACGGTGATTCTCAAGGTTGGTGGAAATGCCGCATGTAGTCCCCTGCAAATGGGTTTGTCTCAAACTAGGGTAACCCCAAATTAAGACTGGTTTCTTTTGGCTTCCCTTTTAAACCACCAGCAAAGCGGTACCACCTCCAACAGCAGCAAGACCATTCTTCACATGGCAAGCGCCAAAAGAAGGGCTCCGTCGGAGCTCCATCTTTTGACTTGTTGGGTCTGGTAGACTACCAACCTACACACCTAACAAGATGGCAACTTCCGGGCAGTTGTTCAACGGAACCCCCCACCAAACCCACTCAAAGCCGAACAAATCGACAAAGCACCCATGATTCGAGTTAGGCCCAGATATAGAATGTATATTTTATTGTTTGGTTCACTTTGAGCCACTGGTAAAATGTAAGATGTATCCTAGGTCTATTCCAGGACCTGAACCGGCTTCGCTTCCGAACCACAAACCTGGGGGAACGCTCCCAGGTTCTAAGCGGCCTGAGGGGTCCCAGTCCCTGGGGAAAGCATCAGCGCCAGCCAGCAGATCGTCAGGCCCAGCGCGGCCAGGCCAAGCGGCTTGGCCTCGCTGCACGGCTTTGGGCGGGGAATTGGCCGAGGTGTCCCCGCAAGAAACCCCGGCGGTGTTCGACGTGGGACATATTTGTTGTTGTTTTTTTTGTGGGGGGCCGGGTTTGGACGAGAAATGTCGGGGTTGGGTTTGCGGAGGGGTTTGACCAAGGGGTTCGGCACTTTCCCTTCAATGTACCATTTGCCGTCTACAAGAACCAAGGTTCAAATCCAAACCCAGACCGCCAATCCAAACCACCAATTCAAGGGAACCTGCTGAGTCTCGTGGAGAAAAAACGAAAGAGCCAAATGTATGGTCGAAAAAGGTGTTGTTCAGAAATCCCCCAAAACAAAACAGAAGGAGATGCCAGGACGGCTGCGTTTTTCAGACTCCTGGGGGCTGCGTTGTTCAAAAACCACCCCAAAAAGCAACACAAACACAACAAAAGCAAGCCCATCATCTTCATCTGTTGGTTGAAGGCCTGGGGGTGGTGTTTTGTTTTCTTGTGGTTGTTTTTCTTTGGGTAGGGGGGGGGGGGGGGGGCAAAAAAAAATCACAAGCCCATCATCTTCATCTGCTCGTTCGAGACCTGTTGTTTGTGTGGTTTATGTTTTTGTGTGTTTTGGTTTTGTGTGTTGTCTTGGTTTTCTAAACAAAGCAGAAAGAAAAACGAGCCCATCATCTTCATCTGCTCGTTCAAAACCTGGGAGCGATGAGAACTATCATTTTAAATCGAGTCATTCTAATGCTAGTTCTATTTAAGCAAAGAAGTTGTGATTGGATTCATGTCTTATCAATGATTGACATCAAATTATGCTTACTCTAATCTAATTGTAAAGTTCTGTGGGAAAGGATCTCCGTCTAGAGCCTGAATGTAAGATGCAAATCGCAGTAGGATTCTGATCAAGTAGTTCCGTATTGAGCAATTAAACCCTATTCAACTTCAAACTGAACTTAAAGAGCGGCTGTTCGTGGAGATGTGAGTTGAGTAGGAAAAAAGCACCACTGTTTTCAAGGTGTTGTCCGACCATGGTAGTGCTGGGGCGAGGAAGCTAAAAAAAAAAAAAAAACGATTTCGGGACCTCTGAATTCTGTCCTTATGACATAATAGCTTTGTCAAAGTCTACTCAATGTTTGACTGAAAGTAAGTAGAAGTTTATAAGAACAGACTCCAATCAGAATTTCTATGTCAATGTAGAAATTGAATGATGATTTTTATATTTCAAAATAAATGTTACACAGAAACACGCATTCAACATGTTCGGGACTGCTAACTTCCTTCCTTATGAATGCAACTTCATATGTTTATCGAGTTCTACCTAGTTTCTATCTCATGCAACCGTTTGTTGATTTTGAGTTAGAATTTAACTCATGTTCTATGTAAAAAAAAAAAATGCTACACGGGATGTCCTTTCCAATAGAATCGGCTGTGCAACAACGCGTATTCAACAATTTTCGGACCTCTACGTCAATTCTTATGATATGCATCAAGTTCAACGTAAATTCTAACTCAAAGCAAGAAGAATCAAACTTGGAGCGAGTCCAATCAGAGGAAACAAACGCAGCCAAAACGCAGCTCCAGGACGTCCTGCTCTCAAAGAAAAAGCCGTGTCGTGGATAGCAAGGTAGAACTTGGCAAAACAAAGAGAGTCCAGAACGAGTCCAAACAGAGTCCGTAAGTTAGCATTTCTGAGCTAGAGCTGCCAAAGCACACTTCGCATACCCCACGTGTACTGATAAGTGTTTGCTTTTGGGGCCATTGGACACCTGGCGAGCACAATCTTTCTCGGTTCCACATGGATCGGCAAATCCGATGCCCCAATCCAAGGCCCTTTCCGCCTTCGCCCCGCTCATAGTGAAAGCCGAAAGGTTTTTTTCTCCGTCCTTTGTCGGATCGTCCGAATTTCCCGTCGTTGGAAAGCACCTGAAAGGGTCCCGGACCCGAAAGGTTGTAGCCCAAGGGGATCGGATTGTCAGCCCTGTCTAAACAGTGGACCAAACCCCCGAGCATCCCAGGAACACAACATTGACCCGAAGACATACCAGCCTCAAGTGATTTCCGTCAAAACGCATCACCTTTCATTGAACTTGGCGGGATCACTCAGTTTTGACTAAGAAAACTGTGTATGCCCTCCAGTTTGAGGGTGGCGAGAAAACTCGGCACCAGTGGCGAGTGCCTTTTGGAGAAGAAGCTGTGTGGCTGGTAATGTTCAACCTATTCGGGTTCACATGGTTGTAAGCCAACTAACCGCTACCTTCTTTGGTTCTCGCCTACTTTCCGGCCGCAGGCTGAACATGCAAGGGGTCCCCACTGTAGATGGACAAAATCCTGCACCAGTTGGGAACTGGTGCGTTCTACCGCATTTTGCCCATCCATGGAAAAACGCCGATGACATCATTCAGGTAACCCCTAATTGGTGGTTTGGATTGGTCGCTTGGGCACTAGTACCTTGTTAAGCCAAATCGGGATGTGAACCCCCAACCTCCCAACCAAACCAAACCACGAACTAGAGCCGAGGGAAGCTGAATCATCGCTCCTAAATTGGGGGGTTCCCCTTTAAAAGACAAGGAAACACCTTTAAAACAAGAAACGAGGAGCCTTGGAAAAATTGAGAGATACGCCCACAACCGCATTTCCTTTTGGCTTCCCCGCGAAAACAAGAGAACACACCTTACCCGAACTCTTCAGCTCCACCTCCAGCAGGCCCAAGCCCATCAATGAGGACAGCAGCAGCAGCACCAGCACACTCCTGCTGTTTGCGGGGTTTGGCGGGTTTGGGGGGTTGGGGGGTTTGGGGGCTTTGGGGGTTTAGGTTTGGGGGTGGCGGGGTGGGTTTGGAGGGTAAGGCTTGTCCGAAAGACAGGACGAGGCACGAGCGCAATCGACAACTTTCAAGGCAGAGCAACCTCCAGACCGCCGGGAATGTCCGCAACCCAGGAGTTTGGGGGTTTGGGGTTTGGGGGGGTAAGCCCCTGGTGTGCGGGTAGTCCATTCCACGCGCGCCCGCTCAGCACTGCATGCCTGGCAAATGGACAGCACACGGGCACCCGCGAACTTGTGGGAGGACGCGATGACGAACGCATGGTCCAATCTTGCCTTTGCGATGAGGAGGATTAGTGAAATCCGTGGGGGAGGACCTGATCCCGTAGCCACTGGTGCTTCTCACATACTTCAATCCTACATGGAGGCGGACGACAGGGACAAGGTGCTGGAATGGGCCGCGGCGAATCGATCAGCTCCGGAACCTATGGGGTAAGATCCCCAGCAAATCAAAGGACAGGTTTGCGATCAAGGAGTGGCTTATGCAGAGATATAAGGAACCTGCCGTTTGAAAACTCAGGACCACCGGCATGCTGGAGGACCTGGTGATAAACGGCTACGACGTGTTGGGAGCTGAGAACGGGCAGTGGGGCAATTGCGTCCGCAATTTCGGCGAGGGATCAATTTTCGGACTACCTGCGGGAGACCGAATCCGAGCTCAACAGCAATCCAAGGGCCATCGACCGATTCCGCTTCGCGGCGGACGATACCAGCGGAGGCTGCGGATCTGAAGGATTCCTTGGCCAGACTCTCCGGCATCGAAGGAGAGCGGGATGACCGATGGCAGTTTCCAACGCACCCCAAAGGCATTGAGCTCATCAGCACAGCTGTACAAGCCTCTCGGTGATGAGCGCGACCCGAATCCTGAGTCAGGTGGACGAGTACGAGACCATCCGAGCGGCGGCCGGGTTGCCTGAATTGATCGAGGCCAAGCTTCAACGTGGGAGTCCTACGTTAGGAGATTGACGCACGCGTTGGCTCTTCTATCGTCGGGCGAGGCGGCACCATCTGGGTTCATGGTTGAAGGGCTCGACAAATACTTGACGGCAGGATGGGAAGCGTGGATCTCCCTGTACGCGTTCTGTTGCGCCCGCTGCTGGTCGTTGGTTTTCGCCCCAGCCGAAAACATAGTTCACTGTCGCAACTCGATCCTGTCTTGGTGTGTACGACATGGCAAATGACATCTTGGACGCTTGCTGATGAGTAGCAAGATCTCAATCTTGGAAATGAAATGAGAAACTCTGCGTCGCGTCTCCTTTGGTTGAAGAAAGTGAGGAGTCGATAAAGATGCACGTTGGCCGCGCCTTTCAGGAAGTACTTCTACAGCATGTTCTTGAAGCAGTTGACTCCTTCTGTTGGATCTCGTAGCAAAGCGTTGTCAAGAAGCTCTCGATACTTAAGCGCATCGCCCGTGAGTCGGCTCTTAATTTATTTTAAAAAAACAGCGCTCTGGCTCAACGGTTGTGAAGGAGGTCCAGTCATCAATGAGTGCCTAATATCTAAACCAGCTGGCTTGTGGCAGCTGCTTGGTGGTCATCGATAATTTCAGCATCTTTCAGTGCTGCCGAAAGGTTGGGCTGCATGTAGACCTCCATGAAGCTTTTCTCTCATCTGATGGTCTTCTTGGGCTCTGGATCTGTTTCTGGCAAGAACCTGATGGACTGAATTGTACTGGAAGTTCCTGGCATATGGGTTGTAAGTGTTGTACACCGTGAGCGATGGCGAGCGTAAACTCTACTTGCAGAAGAAGGGGCCATGAGCCAATATGTATGCGTGATACAGCGATACACATGATTGCCTGAAGGTCAAGGGTCTGCCAAACACAGAATCACCACCCCCGGCTGAAACCAAAAAGCCCGAAGAAAAAACCAGCTTCAGGCGTCTTTTTTCGGGAGCAAAGCAACTGAACACACCATAACCAATGGACTTCCTGAATTTCCTGGTTTCCTAGCAAAACACGGCCTCTCTTGGGATTTGCATCAAAAACCATGCCACAAACTGGGTGTCCGTTGAAACCGCCCCCTGAAAAAAAATAGCACAAAGAAAATTGCTTTCCCAAGAACCCACTTAAAACCCCCTCCCTCCCCCCCCCCCCCCCAACTTTTTTTGGTTGTCCCCGTTTCGAAGCAACGACAATCCCCAGGGCCCGTTCACCGAAACCCGAGGCTCCGCAGCAGCGCCGCAGTGTCGAAGCGCTTGCCCTCCACCCAGCCCCACCATAGCGCCAGCACCGCCGGCAGAGGGATGACCGCCGCCAGGGGCCAATTCTCCAGCCAGAGCTCCTGAAGGCGATCGACCAGGCGAGCATTGTTCGGTTCAGGGCTGAAAAACACTGCTGGGGAGGCTATGTGGGGGGGCCTTGCGGGGCCAGAATTCGTGGAAGGGTTGGCTGCGATGCTTCGCGGCAAGACGGGAAGTGGCTTCGCCGGGCTTCGTGGACGCTTGTTCCAGAAACATCTCTGACGTTCGCGCTCTCATGTGGCTGAATCAAGTTGAGTCTATGCGAAAGGGGGCCACGAAAAGCGGCAAGAGAGACATTGAGCTTCAGGACCAGGGGGGACATGGCTGGGCCTCAACGGGATGAAGCATGGAAGTTGGACCGCGGTGGCTTTGCGGAGACTTTGCGGAGTCTTTGCGGGGGCTTCGCGAAAACGGACCATCGTTTCCAGTTAAACCGAGTCTGAAACGCGCCCATAGTCTTCCGGACTGTAATCTTCCTGTAGTCCTGTCAGAGCCTTCCGGCAGCCATCTGAAAGTGACTCTGAAGATCAACCTTTGGCATGCTACTGCCATGAAAGCACACAACACATTCCAACCACGAAGTGGCTTCGCAAAGTGGCCTTGCAAAGTGGCTTCGCAAAGTGGCTTCGCCTGTGTCACAAGTGCCTTCGCGGACTTTTTGGAGTTCCCCACGAAGCTAAAATCCATCATCTGGGAAAAACGCTGCTCCGGGGAGGAAATAACCAAAAATGCGGGGTTTTTGAGCCTAGGAATATGTATGCCTGTTTGCCTGGTTGATGTTCTCCCTTGCCGGCTGCGTGGTCGCCTTTGATTTGTCCGACATAGGCGCAAGACCGCCATCGTCATTATTCAAAACAGGTGAAACACTGCTCGTGAACTCAGTGAGAAACATTTGCGTGGGACTAACTAAAAGCCTCGGAACAATGTATCTTTTTGCCTGTTTGATTATTTCTTCTCCCTTTGTTGGTTGGTTCTAAAGTTGGAAACCAAAAGGAGCACGATCTGCTGAAAAAACTCGCATTTTGTTGCCTCGGGGGTGTCTTGTTGTTCATCTGCTGGTTGGCTCACTTGGAAGCCAAAAAGAAATAGCCACCATGCGTCCAGACTGTGATCCGCTGGAAATTGGTGCTGTTGCATCCAAATAAAGCCCTCTTCCTTTTTTGAGGGTACCCGTTTTGGAGGGCGGCTCAAAGTGAAACCAGCAGGAGCGGAAATACAAAGTCCCCCTACTGCGGATGGACGAAATGAAATCCGGTTCGCACCTTTCAGAAACCCTGGAATGATTTCCCTGTAAATACCAACAAAACCTTATGCCGTCACATGGTGTCATGGTGTCATTTCGTGGTGCGAGATGGACTTGTTTTCGTCCATCCGCGAAATTTCGAGACACACCCAAACGGGAATCCCAACGGCGTGGCGTGTTTCCTTTGCCAAGTAAAAGGCTCCATTTTGAGAACCCCCCAAAAGGAGTCCAAAACACGAGTATCTTGCAATGGGACCCGAGTCTATTCAAAATGGCTGGGTCTTCCTCTTCTCCTTGAAACCAACATGAGACCCCTCCTGAAAAGGATCTCAAAAAGAAAGAGAGCCACTGGATGTGCAATGCTTGCTCGGCCCAACTAAATTTGTTCAGCTGAGTCGTGGTTGTTTCCAGGAGGTGCTATGGTCAATGTCGCGTCGAAACCTTGCCATCTAGGTCCTCCAGTAGAGAGGTTAGAATAAGGGTACCCCTTTTTTCTACAGTCTATTTCAGTAGGGGAACCCAAAAACCCCAAAAAAGAAGCGGTAAAAGTTGGCACCAATTGTCGGGGGACCTGGCCATTTCAAGGCGAACCTCGTTTTTCAACCAGCGGGTGCAAGCAAGCGCCCAACGCCGGGCACCGGAAAAAGTCGCCCGGAATATTCCGGAAGGGAGCCTGTGGATCAGGGTTGGAAATGGAATCCACGAAGCTGTGATACAACAAGGGCCTAACCCCAAATTGCCGAACCCCCCATCATTAAGGGGGAGATTCCAACTTGTGCCGCAGAAGTGGTGGGATAAACCCCTCGTGATCCCAAAATCTGTGACTGGTTCCGAGCGAGTCCCAAGGTCTCGGAAACACGCATACGTCCAGTGGCTCTCTTAGGGCTGGATCGAATAGGTCTTTGCCAGAGCAGTGGACCGGAAAAAAAAGAAGAAGAACAAACTGGTTTCAGGTCAAGGACCCGGATGCTAGGGTCAAGGACACGGGATTGACATGCTTTTTACTGGAAGGGCCGGTCTCGGGCAGATTTACATTCCATGCTTCGGGGATTGGTTTGGGAAAGGAAGACCCAGACATTCAAGTCCCGACACAAATACCCGGAAAGTGGCTGCCCATAACTTCAATCGCTGGAGTGTGTCATTTGGCACACCATCAAGTCGGCCAAAGCTTCTTGGCATTCTGTTTCTCCAACATCTCTACTCTTGGTATGGTAGCGAAACACTTTGTTTGTGCAAACCCCAGTAAAAATGAACAGAAAAAAAAAAAGCCAAGAACCGTGAAGCCAAAGTAGGCCATCACACGACTAGAAATCACTTTAGAACCCGACTTTACGCTTCTGTGGCCCAAGTCCCGTCCAATTCTTCCGAAGCGAGTCGAATTGACCTTCCAAGCAACCCCGATCAGACGCTGTTCCAAACGCAGCTTCGATGTTGGGAGAAGAGGCCAAACGAAGACAAGGGGCCAAAGGCTGGTGGGAAACCATTGGCGGGTTCCCTCATTCCATGCTTGGAGTGCAACGTGCCCCTTTTGCAAAATAGATGGTTCTGGTCGATGATTCAACCCCCAGGTAATTAAACCAGGGCCCCCTCTATGTTTCAACCAAACCGACCAAAAAAGGAGACCAAAAAGGTCTGGGTGTCTTCGCTCGGCCTGGGTCTCGGTGTTGTGCACCATTGATGGCAGGCGCATCAAACTGGTCACCACGAAGAAGCTCTGCGTCAGCACCTCACGCAGTCGGGGCTCATCTTGGCTTGGCTTGGGCTGGGGGTTTTGGGGAAAGCGCCCATGGGTAAATGACTCAGGCCCACCATAGGGAGGCTTACCCATCGCTGCAACCCTGGACTGGATCTTTACATCCAGCCCATCAACTTGCTGGACATCCGAGATTCATAGAGTCTGGAACCGTGCAATTGCCTGGGCTACTGAACATTCTCCTGCAATACCCTGCTTCCCCGTCTCGAGTTGACTTTGACTGAAACAACATGCTTGAGTTTCGTGACGTGCGGCACGAAATGTTGATATGACCTGCCCATGCAGTCCGCACACTTGGACGTTGACATGGTTTGCTTGAGCATTGCTTTATGATGATACATGCTCACGCACTGACTATGTGATTTACTTCTTGTCTGTGTGTGTGTGTGTGAAAGTTCCCAAAATTATAAATCAAACGTTAACAGCTGAGGCGGCTTGTCGTCAAAACCGGCTCTTCCGTGCCTTTCTCATCGAGCGTCGATCCGAGAGAATTTCAGCGACACGGATCCAACTAAAGGGTAAGATTGCCCAAGCCAACGTGAAACAAACTGTGGTCATACATTGAAAGCAAGTAAGAAGAGTACGATCAAACGTTCATGCTTTTGATAACTTGATCAACCGTATCCTCTGCTGTCCCTCAGGACATTGGACACCATGACCAAGCTTTGCGGGTCGGATATGTTCCTTACCACGGCTTGCAGTCGCGTTGCCTCCTGGATTCCTATGGTGGCTACCGATGTTGGGATGATCAGGATGCGTACTTGGATGTTCGGCCAAGTTGTAAGTGGTTGGCCACATGAAGTATAACCCGCTAATAACAAGGTTAACTCCACTTAGGGGAGCTTGTCAGCGGGTTGTAACCTGGCTTACCAACAACTTACCTTGGCCGAACATCGAAGTACGCCAGTTCGCCAACTCACTGGCCCCCATTCCTTCACTATCAAAGCCAGGGTAGGTTAGAGGCTCCAAGTGAAGGGGAAGCCAGTTTCTGACTTTGATACAAGTGGACTTCAGCAACCTTCCCCAGGCTTCCTCTCCCAGTCGGGAGGGCATCTTTGATTGGGTGAAAAATCACCGCTTGAAACATACTTGCCCCGAGTAAAACAATCAACACGTCTTTCTGGATTGCGTTTCAAAGGGGACGCCCTCGAAAAAACTGGCTTGCCGGCGACATAGGGGTGTGTCTTTTTTGCGGGGCCCACTTTTATAACAAGCTATGGCGGTTTGCCTTGTGTTTCGTCCCTGTAAAACCCGGCCAAAAAAAACCGTTTTGCCCCCGCCCAGTTATTTAAAAAAAAAAGGGGCGGGAAGCGAGGAGCCCTTCATCGCGGGCTCTGCAAGTTCGAGGCACAAAGGCGCTCTGCTGGCTCATCTTGCCGCTGCTCATGGCGTTGGCAGAGTACACCATGACCCTCAGGCCGCGTACGATGAATCGGACATCGGAAACCACTTCGCGCCGTTCGGAACCCCATGGAGGCCCGCCGCTCCCAAAACGCATTTGTTTCAACAAGCAAATTGCGGCGAAATGGAGGTCGTCCATCGGCAGGTTAAGCATAGGCCTTTTGGGATTTGATAGATGGCCCATGGTTCAACCAGGTTTAACAGGCCTAGCTATGTTCAACCAAACTAACCAAAAAGCAGACCTATGTTTAGAAGGTTTTTGAAGGCAAATTGCAGTTAGGACCCTTCAACTGGACCATCACCCCTCTCCAACAAAACCCCTCACACCCAGGCAATTTTGGTCCATGTCAGTCTACGGTTCTTGTCCTTGCGATGTTTCTCTGGGCAAATTACAATACGGCTGTGGGTCAAAACTAGGTACCCAAAATGGCTTGCCCTGGTAAGTGGAAACATGGACCAAAACCTGCGGTCCGCTGTTGCTTAACTTTGACCCATACCCATATCTCACAACCGGTAATAAGAATTGACCTCTATGCAAGGAACCTTCACTATGCACGACGTCCAAAAGTCGGCCCCGTTCAAAAAAACGACTTGAAAAGAATGACTGACTGGAAGCCAGTAGAACTTTCCTCGATAAAGGTGGATGTGGGTTTGTCTCACCAGAAATGGCCGGGTTTTCAGTTCTCCTTTCGGCTTCCGAAAACCAACCCCAAAAACCACCTCTTATCAACGACATGGCCGCCCACAAATCTCTCCCCAGCCCCCAGTTTCACGGCGCAAGCAGAAATTCCCGCGGAGACCTCTCGAGAAGCAAAAGCGGTTGAGACCGGTTTTCTTCAGATTGACCCCGGAGCCTTTTGCAAAACCCGGCGCCTTTTTCCCAATGGGTTTTTCCCCCAGCAACTGAAAGCTATGGGTTTGGTCTATAGGCCCAAATAGGCCATAAGGGGTGGTTTGTGGCAGCTTTCAGGGAGGGTGCAAAAGGAGGGTTCAAGGAGGTTCCGGGGCTGTTGTGGATACCATCTGGGCTTTCTCATCCACAAAAGTGACAAATGTCGGACACCCCATCTCTCAAAATCACGCAACCAAGGTCAGGTAAGTAAGTCAATAACCGGCCCCAACCCCAGCCAACCAGCTGATGGTTCTAGCCTACCTAACATTGCTTGAACACAAAGGATTCTCCTTCTCAGTTGCCCAAAGCATGGGTTGACGTTGGAAGGGGAGCAAAAAAATCAAATTTTAGCAGTTAAGTGGGGATTTCAACCACTAAACCACAATAAGCAAAAATGATTCAAATTCTTTCCCAACAACAACCATGAAAGGACCCAGAAAATTTTGGTGATCCACCCTTGGGGGCCAGTCCCTGGAAACTTGCTTTGGGCTGTGAGAGAAAACCTTCGGTCCGGGAGCAATGGTAAGTTAACCCCCCCCTATCCAAACAGGGGGCAGCTTCCCTCCAAAAGTGGGGACGGATCAGCTTCCCTCTAATCGGTGGTCGGGGAGCCCGGTTTGGTGTTCCGGGGATGATTTCCCACTTGTCTCCAAACCAGCTACCTAAGGAGGTGAAAAACTTGAGCCTGTCTCAAAACAGGGAGGCCCTCGTTGGATTTTTTTTGGGGGGAAAGAACTACTGGAAACCACCAAGCTCCAAACCAAAAAACACCTGGCGGGTGACCGGTGAACGGGCTCCAAACAACTAAAAACCTTAGGACCCGGACGGTTCGCCAAAAACACCACGTAAGTAACTAAACTTTTTCTGATGGTTGAACACAGTAGATCCGGAAAAAAACGGGGGGGCCCCATCCACTTCCAGCAACTTCAAAGAACACCTCTACCAAAAAAGTGTCAAATGGTACGGCAAGCCAACAACAACAAAACAAAACTGGCAGGTGACTCGGGCTCCGTCCTCTTTTGCGCCCAGTCGCAAGGGTCCAGCAAGGCCCACCAGGCCGTTCATAAACCCGCTGCCCAGGCCCACCGCCACCAGCTGCGGCCCCTGATGCCGGCACAGCCGCAGATCCTCCTCGCGGTTTTGGGGGTTTCGGGGGGAAAAGGGAGGGGAGGGGGGGGTTTTGGGGGGGAGGGTTTTGGGGGGAGGGTTTTGGGGCGAGGGTTTTGGGGATGTTTTTTAGGAGTTGACGGTAGGTGCCCAAGGAAAACCAAGAGGAATCCAAGAGGTTGGTTTGGTTGGTTGGTTTTTGGGGCGCAGGTGTGTTTAAAGGGAACCCTAAAGGAAACCATCATTTGGAGTGTCTTTTTCGGGAGTTCCCAAAATGGCGCCGGTGTTTTTTTTGGGTTTCTTCTCAAAGCCACCGATCAAGAGGTTCCGTTCCGAGGCTGAAAACAGAACACCCCCAAATCGATTTCTCGGAAACGAGTCACGCAAACGAACGACGAAAACTCAAAAACCGATCGAGTGTGGATTAGTCAAGAAAAGTAGCCAAACTTGCTATTTACCACTAAAATGGTCTCACCTTCCTCAACATCAACGACAACTACCCCGCCACCGCCACCACCACCACCATTTAGCGGATTGGCCTAAGTGGATTGAGTGGAGTACGCAATCTTTATATTTGCCAAATACACTTCCCACAAGTTGCTTTGGTCCGAAGCAGAACTCTCCCTGAAAAGGAAAGCGGCCGCCGCCTTCCTCCAAAAAGGCCATCAAATTGCAAAGAAGAAGACTGCACAAAATTCCAAGCATTTGAAAGGGTCCAACTGGAAGGCGGCACGCTTCGAAACATGTCCAAACCGAGTTGGGCCCCTACTATACAATGACGGCATGTACCCTGTGAAGACATGCGCATCTTGACACATCACCCTTTGATGCCCACCAACAGAATAAAGTGAACAGAAAAACAGAGGATTGAACAGAGGGAACGAGGGAACACAGGGAACAGAGGATTGAACAGAGGGAACGAGGGAACAGAGGCAATAAAGGATTGAACAGAGGGAACGAGGGAACACAGGGAACAGAGGATTGAACAGAACAGAGGGAATACAGGGAGCAGAGGATTGAACAGAGGGAACGAGGGAACACACGGAACAGAGGATTGAACAGAGGGAACGAGGGAACAGAGGAACCGAGGACTGAACAGAACAGAAGGGAACCGAGGGAACAAACAGAGGTAACAGAGGATTGAACAAAGGGAACACAGGGAACAGAGGATTGAACAGAGGGTAACAGAGGATTGAACAGAAGTAGCACAGGATTGAACAGAGGGAACGAGGGAACAGAGGACTGAAGAGAACAGAGGGAACAGAGGTAACAGAGGATTGAACAGAGGGAACGAGGGAACACAGGGAACAGGGAGCAGAGAACTTAACAGACGGAACAAGGGAACAAAGGTAACAAAGGATTGAACAGAGGGAACGAGGGAACACAGGGAACCGAGAATTGAACACAACAGAGGGAACAGAGGTAACAGAGGATTGAACAGAGGGAACGCAAGTAACAAAGGATTGAACAGAGGGAACAGAGGTAACAGAGGATTGAACAGAGGGAACGAGGGAACACGGGGAACACAGGATTGAACAGAGGGAACGAGGGAACACAGAGAACCGAGGATTGAACAGAACAGAGGGAACAGGGGTAACAGAGGATTGAACAGAGGCAACGCAAGCAACAAAGGATTGAACAGAGGGGACAGAGGTAACAGAGGATGGAACGGAGGGAACAAGGGAACAGAGATAACAAAGGATTAAACAGAGGGAACGAGGGAACACAGGGAACAGAGGATTGAACAGAACAGAGGGAACAGAGGTAACAGAGGATTGAACAAAGGGAACGCAAGTAACAAAGGATTGAACAGAGGGAACAGAGGTAACAGAGGATTGAACAGAGGGAACGAGGGAACACGGGGAACAGAGGATTGAACAGAGGGAACGAGGGAACACAGAGAACCGAGGATTGAACAGAACAGAGGGAACAGGGGTAACAGAGGATTGAACAGAGGGAACGCAAGTAACAAAGGATTGAACAGAGGGGACAGAGGTAACAGAGGATTGAACAGAGGGAACGAGGGAACAGAGGTATCAAAAGATTAAACAGAGGGAACGAGGGAACACAGGGAACAGAGGATTGAACAGAGGGAACGAGGGAACACAGGGAACAGAGGATTGAACAGAACAGAGGGAACAGCGGGAACAAAGGATTGAACAAAGGGAACAAAGGATTGAACAGAACGGAGGGAACAGAAGTAACAGAGGATTGAACAGAGGGAACGAGAGAACAGAGGGAACAGAGGATTAAACAGAGGGAACGAGGGAATACAGGGAACAGAGGATTGAACAGAACGGAGGGAACAGAGGGAACAAAGGATTGAACAGAGGGAACAAAGGATTGAACAGAGGGAACAAAGGATTGAACAGAGGGAACAAAGGATTGAACAGAGGGAACGAGGGAGCAGAGGTAACAGAGGATTGAACAGAGGGAACGAGGGAACAGAGGGAACAGAGGATTAGACAGAGGGAACGAGGGAACACAGGGAACAGAGGATTGAACAGAACAAAGGGAACAGAGGGAACAAAGGATTGAACAGAGGGAGCAAAGGATTGAACAGAGGGAACGAGGGAACAGAGGGAACAGAGGAAGAGAGGGAACAGAGGATTGAACAGAACAAAAAGTGCCCCGTCCTCCGCAAGAGCCTCCGCCTCCGCAATTTTGCGCTCCTGAGGAACAAAATCTTTGGCGGAGAAGCTGAAAAGCGATGGGCGAAAGCTGGAGATGGGGGCGGACGTTGGCTTTCTTACTCGAGATAGGACCAGCAGGCTTGCTTTGGCTTTGAACAAGATTTCCACATAGATCTCAAACATGATGTCGTCTGTGCATCTTTGAATGAAGTGTTGGTGTGCCACATACATCGACCGACCCGCTTTCCTGGCCACTGGCTGCCGACACGGCTCAACATCTTTTGACCAGACCTGAAGCTGGTGCTCTTCTTTTCAGGTTTCTCGACCTGTTTGCTTCGCCAACTGTTGGTCGGCTTCAAAAGGAAGCCACAAAACCAGAAAGCCATAGGGGTCCCCGATTGACAACCCCAAGCCCGCGGAGATCTGAGGTTGCCATCGGGCAAGCCTTTCAATTTCTGCAGAGCTCTACGCGCAAGGCTGGACACTGCATTTCGCCTGAGGAAGTAGAAGTGCTACCGTGTTTTCACGAAATTCGTTCCCACCAAGAAATGAAACCGTGGGTTACAACCATAACGTTTGTTGGTATTTACGGGGGAATTCGAAAATCATTCCATGGCTTCTGAGTTCGGTGGTAGCGAAATGGATTTCGCCACCATCCACAGTATCACGAAGGTCTGCTGGCAGCTTCTTAAGGCAACCGCAAGCTTCGTCCTGGGATTTGGAACTTACTCACGTGGTCACGCTGAGCCGGCGTGGAAACTTGGAATACGAAAGGCGCTTGCCTCCAACTTGGATTCCCCGGCATGCAACGCAGCTGGAAATTGTTTGGACCAAGGTAATACAGGCCATTGAAGTTCAACCTAGCCCATTTGGGAGTGCGAAACAAGCTTTGAGGCACTAACCTTCTACCTATGTGTGCTTGGTAAGTTTCTGAGGCGTCTGCCCCTTATGAAAGTGTGTGTGTGTGTGTTGGCCCGTCAAGATCTGTTGTTGGCCCTAGAAATAGTCCGGTTCAAACTCTTTGTGACATTTATGCTGGACGTCCCTGGTAGATTCTCGTTGTTTCTTTTCTTAAAGCAAAACAACCAACTAGGACACCTATGGTGACTGCGTTCTTTCTCCGGGCCGCGTCCTTTAACGCCTGATAGTGGGATGCTTCATGGATCAAACAAGGAATAGTCGCCCGACCCAAGAACAGACTTGGGTCACCAGGGGGCCGCAGGCAGTCCATGTTTTCATCTTCCAGGGCTCCCATTCTGGGTACCTATTTGTCACCCACAGATCTTCGAGGGTTCCAATTTGCTCACGTATTTGTGACCCACAGCCAATGGGTGTGCCCTTTTTTTAGGTTGGCCAGAGTCTCGTCAGTGGGACCCGGTCGTACACATACCGGAGCAACAAAACCACAGAAGATTCCCAGAACAGAATCTAGGTCCTCCAGATTTGAGAGGTTAGAATAAGTTGGTGCCCGCTTTTCTCTTTTTGGTCTATTTTACTAGGGGAACCCAAAACCCCAAAAAAGGGGGTGAGAAAGGGCACCTAATTAGCTGGGGGACCTAGGAATTCTCGGGGCTCCTTCCAACAACCATGTTCTTTTGAAACTTGCTGGTGCTCAGTAGGGAATGTGAGAATGTCCCCAGGGGCCCCTTCCAAGACAGAAAACGTACAACTCGCGCAAAAAAAACATCATAAAAACGCCGAATGCTGTTTCACTGGTGGCCAAGACTTGCAGCCGAAGGATCTCAGCCTGGGAAAAAGGGATCCTTTGGAAGCTTTAAAGGAGCCCTTGCCGATCGACCCAAGCTTCATGCGTGTAGCGCCCATGGTTTTGGTGGGGGGTCACTTAATTTTTGGAGGGCCCCCCCCCCCCCATACTCACAAACAGCGGATGACAATCCGGGATCCACGCTCAGATGCCCAAAGGGCCTCAAACTTCACCCAAAGGGGCTAAGTATGGATCAAAAGGTCGCTGAGTTCTCCTACGGCCCAAGTTCTACATGATCAACTTTCCCTCAAGAGAATGCCCAGCTAGGGCTGTTGGAGGCATGGATGCTGTAACACAGTACATACCCCATCTTGAAGTGGTAGAAAATATTCCTTCCTTCAAAACCCATCCCTGGAAATGCCCTCAAAGAATGCATGAACCCTTCAAAACCCTGAGTCTCATGAGATTCCATGACTACAATACTACACAGGTCAACCTGCTCTGGATATCAGGTCCTACGGATCCTAACATTTGTGTCTTCATCTCAACCTATGAAACCAACATGCTGTACCCTCCCACCAATTCACACGGAACCTCACGGAGGTCCTGGCCGACCATTTTCCTTTTAAAGGGGGCCCTGTCAGGTTCCATGTTGTTGGGCGGGAGCCTATCTCCCGCAAAAAAAGCTGCTGTGTGCTCAGCCGAGGAGGGGAACGCGGCTTGAGCACGAAAACCCCCATGATGCCAGTGCAGGAATTGTTTTCGAGCCGGATATCCGCGCCCATCGGTTGGGACTATCCTTCACCTTCTAGTGGCGAGCCAACTCTCTGAGCCCGCGGATTCCACGGCTTGGTTCCAGCAACGTGCGGAAGACTTCTCGGGTCTTTCTCAAACTGGGGGTCCCCTCAGATGGCTGGTTTCCCTTGTGGTTCGTTTGAAAATACGTTTGTTTCATTCCAAAGGGGTCCGCCATGTTGAGATATCGAGACAAAAGTCGCCCCGAAGAGCTCCTTCCCCAGCAAAGAGGCTATGAAGATTCGACAATAGGAAACCACCGTTGCAACAGTGGCTGGACATGAATCCGCACCCGACTCCTGCCCTCCATTTCGCGCCCCGCGGAGAGAAAGAAAAAGAAGAAACAGATGACCCCCACCGGCGCCTGCTCGCTGTCGGGGGACGGCGGCGCCGCGAAAGCGCTGCGGAACTCCCCGGTCAGTTTGTAGACAGCCACCAGGTAGAAGATGACGTTCCTTACACTTGGCCCCATTGCTTTTGACACACAGCCACTTGGGTGTTCAACATCATGGTTGCAAACTAACAGTTGCCCCGGTAGCCAGCCTTCATCTAGCTTATAACCAGGGTTATAGCTGGGGAAACTGGAGTTGGCCCGCTTATAACTGTGGTTATAACCTACTTGCTGAGATGTTTGAACACCAGGTGGGCCAAACGGACGCTTCAAGTTGGGCCGTGAGAGGGGTTTAAAAACCCTGCAACGTTGAATGAGATGTGTGGATGTTTCGGGGGGGACACTTGTGCCAGGTTGGGTGTGAAAATGGTTGGATGACTTTGACCAGCCGCTTGCACACTGGGCTGAGAACTCAAGACGGGGAGCATAGAGAGAAAAGCTGGCAGTGTAGCGCAAGACTTCTGACGGATGCGACTGCCATTTTGCTTCCAGAGGCAGAGCCGGAAAGTCCGGGCATCCTCCCACCGGCAAACATGGAAGTGCACAGACCCCTGTAGAAACACTACTTTCCTCTTGGAAAGGGCCTTTTTGCACTTCCATGTTCGTTGGTGGGAGGGTAAAATTGACTCAGCATACGCAGTATACATGCGAGCATGCTACCTGATTTTGGCTACCAAGTTCCTGAGTTGTCGCCTGCTCAGCCTGTGCATTCCTCAACGCCTCGCACCAGTCTCAAACCGCCTGACCCACAGCATCCCGTGTTTGGCACCGGGGATGGAAAAGGCATCGCTTGATAGTTCGATGCCATCTTGCCCCTGCTCCCCATCCACAGAGAGCTGGTCAGTTTTTCGCCTGAAGGCCTGCACGTTTTCAGAGATGTTCCAAACACCACTTGCTCATAGCATCAGAGGTTGATACATTCCAAGGGGCAGCGCAATCTTGACAAAGTCCAAGATTTCGTGGTTCTCCGTCGTTTGCACTAAGAGGTAGCCTCAGAGATGGCAATCCAGCAGCATGAAAGCTGTTGGCCGGAGTCTGCTGACGATTGCGTCTAGTTGTTACCAATGCCGATGATGCACTCCTTCGTAAATCAGCAACAGTTCACACAGCGAAAGTCAAACGTTCCTTGGCTCCTCGAATTAAGTTCGACATTGGGCAGTGTGTGCTTTTCCATCGAACCAGAACCATTCACGAAGGCTCGCCAATTGCTGCATGTTGGAATAAGCAACCGCGCATTGGTTTTGTGCTTCTTGCACAGGCAACAGAGTGTTTTGATGGCACACATGATTCGCTCGCCTTTTTGTTGAGGCTCGGTACCCTTAGTAGGAAGGTAAAAGGGAACTACCATTTTTGAGGGGGCCAAGCTTAAATAGAACACACCCATTTTTTCATAGGGGGCCAAGTTAAGTGCTGGCGATGAATGTCCAACAAGGTGGCTCCATTAACATATTCTAATTATTACAAATAAATAAATAAATAAATAAATAAATAAATGAATAAATAAATAAATAAAAAAATGATACCAAAAATGCCATCTTCCCACCAACCACTTGTAAGAGCATATTTTAAAAACCGGCAAAAATTGCCGTATCTTTTCCATCCGGGCAGCTGCCCAGGCTGGTGCCCGGCAGGCACAAGGCGCACAGCAAAATCTGGCTCCGCCACAGCGCCAGCGCCTTCCTGCAGTGAAGAGACCGCCCCACAAAATAAGCACGAGGACAGGGCATGTACGTCACTCCAAGAACTTGTTCACGTGCTTGACATTCGGGCTAATTTTACTGTCCATTAATTGAATACCCAGCGAAAAGGATCCTGAGCAATATTGACGGGAAAAGCTCTTTGAGCCCAAATAACGTTGCGCTCCCAACTAGGAAATCGGTCGGCCCCTCCGGTCTTTTTTCGGCAAGTCTGACAGCAAGGTCAGTCCTCTTACAGCAATCGAATGCGAACATCTATCATGCACCCATGCCAGGCCAACACATTGATCGGAAAAATCGTTAGCACTACTTGCGGCCTCGTTTACCGGAAGCCACGAAGCAGCTCTCCTGCCCACCGCTAGAAAAAGCACCGCTGAGGTGGTCATCTCAAAGACCGTGCCCAGCAAAACCATGAGCACCGCGCTCTCCAGGCCCGGCACAAGCTCGAACTGCCCGCACACGCTGTAGACCAAGATGAACCTAGTGCTCAACAACAGTTGGCTTGATGATCAACCAGCCCCATGTGGCAAGGGAAGAAGACACCCCCTCGTAAAGCAGACTTTGTGTTTTGAGGCTATCTGCTCAGTACATGCTGTGCATAAAAAAATGTAATGCCAGTAATGTTTTTACATACACATGTACATCTATACACATGTGTCAGCTTATGAACATGCAATATATCATTAAACCAAAGGATAGTCTAACAAGAAAGCTAGCTCTCACCAAGGATGCATGCACCTGCGCAGGCTCGTGGCCATGGCGCGCGGTCGCGACATCTGTACAGGGGCAGGTGCGAGTGGGCTTGGAGCGGGGGTGGCAGCCGCGGCCCTATCGGTGAAGCCGCCGCATACTTTGGGCGGATCAACCAGACCACACCCAGGAAGGGACCGGCGCGGCAAACAAATATGAGCCATGTGCCATGGAAGAAACACCTCGTTTACAGAACAAGTGGATTTGCGTGGACTTCCTGGCATAGGCCTGGCCATACACTTGCCCTAGTCCTGGCCCCTTGGGCCTTTCCAAGTCTAACCCTGGACCTTGCCCCAGAGCTTGCGCAAGGGTCGTGTCTGGACTGCGTCGGTTTTCTTGACCATTCGAAAGCGCACCCACGGTCAGGAAAAGTAAGTCTGGCCCTTGGACCACGACCGCGCAAGCACTTACATGCTCAGCATCACGAGCGTCACCAGCACCACTGCAAGCAAGCCAAGACCTTGGGGGTTTTGTCTTCTTGACTGCGGAGGCGCTTCAAGAAAATCGGATGAGGAGTCGGCTGCAGTCAGACATCAGCCTGGTAAATCCGACCTTGCCGTGCTGCATCGTCAGCTGTCAGGCGCCTTTGGCGCATCACTACCGCCCGCGCGGCCATTGGAGCTCGAGTTGGGAAAAGGCTCAAAACACTGCGAATATGCAGCAACCCAGCTGCATTGCCAGCATCGCCAACGCTTTCGGAAGCCGCTTTGTGCCTCGCATCGCCTGCAACCCTTGCGTCGCCCGCGTTTCGTGGCTGCATCCCCAAGCCATTTCTGATGAAGCGCGCGCGCGCGCCACACCCACGCACGTGCGCCTCGCGCGGGCTGCACGCACGCACTCATGCAACCAACCATGAATCCACCCATCCACCCATCCACCCATCCACCCATCCACCCATCCACCCATCCACCCATCCACCCATCCGCCCACCCACCCACCCATCCACCCATCCACCCATCCATCCATCCATCCAATCCAATCCAATCCAATCCAATCCAATCCAATCCATCCATCCATCCAATCCAATCCAATCCAATCCAATCCAATCCAATCCAATCCATACATCCATCCATCTCGTCCCCATCCATCCCGCGCGGCGGGCATGTGAGGAGCGAGAAAATAGAAGCCACCTCCCTCGGTCGCGACATCTGTACAGGTTCAGAGTGGGCTGTTCGGGCAGACCATTTAAAGAAAGATTCTATTTTTTTTTACGGCACGCGACTCTCTGCGCACTTTGGAGGACCTTGAGAAACTCATGTTTTGTTTATCTTAACTTTACGATTTGCACTTCGCTCGCGAGACCCGCGCATCGCACTTTGGGCAGTCGCCCTTCAAAATTGGGTGTTGTGTTTGACGCCTTTGAACGCCAACTAGGTACCTGTCTAGCTAGCTTAGCTATCTAGCTACTTATCTCACCAGCTCGCGAGCCCACCGGATAACTAGCTACAAGTAACTAGCGAGCACTTGCTTAACGATAAGCGCAGGTGGTATCCCCAACAGCCTGCAACCTACTTACTGCCCATGTCTGGGACAAAACAACCAAATCCAGAGCTGAACCAGCTGGGGAAAAAACAGGCCACCCTTTGCACAGCCACTTAGGCAGAGGAAAAAAAGAGCACGATGTAGAGGCTACTGATAAAAATGAGTGGAAGATTCCAGGAAGGCGCCCTGGTTACGCCGTGCAGGTGCCAAAAGGGAAAAACGCGCTGAGAATGGGGAAAGCATGAGAAAGAATGAGAAAGAATGAGAAAGGAAGGAAGGAAGGAAGGGAAGGGAAGGGAAGGGAAGGGAAGGGAAGGGAAGGGAAGGGAAGGGAAGGGAAGGGAAGGGAAGGGAAGGGAAGGGAAGGGAAGGGAAGGGAAGGGGAAGGGAAGGGAAGGGAAGGGAAGGGAAGGGAAGGGAAGGGAAGGGAGGAAGGAAGGAAGGAAGAAAAGCAAGAAAGGAAAGAAAAGAAAGCAAAGAAAAGACAGGAAAGAAAGGAGAAAGGAAAGAAAAGAGAAAGTAAACAAAAGAGAAGTAAACAAAAAAAGAGAGGACAGTGAAAGAATCCAAGACAGAGACAGAGAGAGAGAGAGAGCGAGCGAAGGAAACCGGGAAGGAAAAAGAATAAGCTCCGAACTATAGTTGTCTTCCATTTGAACAACTTCCGCGTTCGACCTTTGCCGGACTGTAGAGGAATACGGCTACCGTCGAACATGTGCTTTTCCCCGTTGAAGAAAATGGGGAAAACCAAAGCGGGGACCAAAGTGAGAAGAGTGGGACCAGGCATCACAGATGCAAGAACACTTGCGGAGCCTGTCCGCTGACTCCTTCGTTACAAGCCGAGCCAGCGGGGTGTCTCACATGAGACATCAAATATCGAAGTTTCCTCTGAACCAAAGACTGCCAGTACTTGTGATCAAGCCTCATCCAGCACTGTGTCATTGTTTCAGCGTACAGGTGTGTCATTCTGCAGGACCCGGTGGCGTTCCTTAAAAAGGCCACCGGTTTAGAATTGGCCGTTGGCCAATTTAGACAGCATGTTTTTCCCCCCCAAGCACCACTTCACCTCCCAGCCCATGTCTCACCGCCCGTCCGAGGCTTCGGCAGGGTGGACCCCCCGAAGCCGGTGGCCGCGCGCACAAAGCCGCCGCAGACCGCGGCCAAGACCACCACCGCCACGGTGCCGCCGTTCATGGCGAGTTAAGCGGTCCGCTGCGCTGGGGGGCTCGGGTTTTCGAAAACCCGGAAAAATGCACCCTGGATCTGAGAGAAAAGAAGGCGCCCCTGGCGCCCCTGTGAAACTCGGGGATGTTGCCACTAGTGTTGATTCAAAAAACTTCAAAAGGCTGTTTGCGGAAGTATGGCTTGGAATGCTTGATGTTGAGGCTTTTTGCTCTCTGTGTTTAGAGCTCCTAAGCAAGGGGGGTGGCCCGAGTCAAGCTATTGCTCGCTGGCAAGCTTGATCGAAACTACGATCCTCCTTTGTCGCCGAGTTTTGACCGTGAACCGTTTCAACATGATTAGAGTTAGGCCCAGTTGAATGCATACTTTATTGCTTGCTTCACTTCGAGTCACTGGCAAAAAATGGCAAAATGTATCCTACCGTGGGACTGGCGCACAAAAAAGGGGGCCCTTTGGCCTTCTTGCGGCACAGCTGGATGGGTGATAGCCTGTTCGCCCTGAATGCTGATCACTTCTCCGCGAATTGAGGAATCTGCAAGGGGAATCTCATTCGAGTCACTGCTACAACCCGTAGAACTCGTTATTCTTTGAAACAGTTTTGGATAGATCCCTTTCGAGCCAGGTTTTGATTGTGGCTTTGAAAGGACTACACACCTTTCGGTGTATTTTGAGCTGAGAGATGCCATGTCATTGCGCTCCTCGCGATTGCACATGTGCGTTGCTTGTCAAGCACTCGACATGGCTCGAGCTGTCCGTAGGATTCGGATTTTGGGTCACCTGAGTGCTGCGCGCTCATGCTACGGCTAGTGATCCTCCCTAAACTCAGCTGCCCACATTATACCTGAACATTGCCCTGTAAATGTTGGTGTCCCTTTATTTTGGTGGAAGAAGCCATGTTTCAAATGGTTGCAAAATGGAGATCTTTTAAGGAGCCCTGCCTCAAAAATCCTAGAAACACAATACAAGGTGATTTGCCTTTCCCGGCCAGTACAGCACAATGGGAACCCAACAAAACGAAACCAGATCCGGTCAGATCCGGCCGATTCGCTTTGGTTTGCAAGAGAGACATGTCGTCAGTGTCCGGCGCATGCCTGGAGAGGTGAGTCACCTAAAGTTCTCCCAACCGCGTCACTCAAAAGCGGGGTTGTGGGAAATGATCACTGTGAGACAACAGAAAGAACTTCCCAAAAAGCTAACCCCCAAATAGAAATGGGGAGATCCCCTTGCATCACGGAAGTGGGGATAAACCCCTTGATCCCACAACCCTGCTGAAAAGGGGCTTGATCCTACCGAACGAGATTCTGGGTGCAAATAAGGGGGACGTCTCTATGAACCCCCCGAAGGTACGTGCAACCTCTTGAAACGCGGATCCCTGAGGAAATCCTTCGGTCGATCCCGCCTGTAGGAAGTTGTGATCCCAACTGCGGTTGCTGTGCTCGTGCCTCGCCGAAAAAAAACCCGAAGATTGTTCGCTTCCTTCGAAGTTCCGTTTAAAACCACAAAAGTTTCCTCAAAAACAGAAAATGCAGCCACAATTGAGCTCAAACCGTGCAGGAGCCATAGCCTGTGAGAGCTGCTTCGTCCTTGGGGGTAAAACCTGGGGCCGCGGGGGTTCGGGGTTAGGAGGTTCCTGGTGGAGCGCGCGCGGTCTTCCTGGGTTTGGTTGTGTTATAACCTTGTGTTTTCCAATTTGCTGTTCAACCTTCACTTCAACCAACTGTCACGTCATCATTCACAGCTTCCCTGAGTTGCGTTGCCACGGGTTTTGAACACTTCGTGGACTACCTTGTGTTCATTTGCGTCCCTGGGCTATACCATCTTCGCCCAAAACCGCAAAGTCGACTGAAACGCTTGGCTTTTCCCAAACCACCAATCCAAACCAAGGAAGCTGAGTTCAGATGCGCTTTCCAAGTTGCAAGGTCCCTTTTTGCTTGCAAACGCATATCATTTCCCGAAGGGCAACATGTTGTTTGCTCAGCTGCAGAGAAGCAGCTAAGCA